TCAGAACAATTTTCGACCTACGCATACCGGGTGAGTGCTTGTAAGATATGTAACGCCTCCCTCTCCTAGTAGTGTTATAAAGCCTTTTCTATTGGAATCGAATCGGCAGACTTATTGGTAAACATCGCTTTGAGTTCAGGTGCCACCACTCCCATCCGTAATCTTCTTTCGCTCAACGGAGAGTCAATTCCTTCTCAAGGTCTCGGCTGCCCTCAGTTAACTGCTTCTAAGTGAGTTTCGGTTGGAGTCTGTCAAATGCTTTTTAAATGCTGCGGTTACATCTTTTAGGTCGTCTATAAGTCAAGGATTCGGTTGTGTCGACGGTGAAGTGTTGCGGCAAGGAGATGACCAACTCCCTGAATGCTGTGAGTTTTTCGAGTGTAAATAAACTTTTAAAACTGCATCATTCCTTGAGGGATTTTTCTCATGCGCAGTTGAACGACTCAGGTCAGTAGAAAATAGCATAGGAGACGGGGTTCCTCACCTTAGGGCACCCAGAATGCGCCATGCAGTCGATCCTCTGTGAAAACTTCAAGGTGTTGGTTGTGTATTCTGCTTTTGAAGAAATCCTAAAAGACACTTCATTATTCAAATAGTCCTCTCTCAAGTACCCCATTCAGAAAAAGTAGCTACAATTAAGCTTGATAGTTTCTCTTATCAGTATTGATACAGGGGTCGTACTTAGAGACAGAAACTGGCATGGCGCTTTGGTCTGCCTTACCTCTTCCCCTTCAACGGCGAAATTTCGGCAGAACTTGGTAAGATACGTTATGAGAAGGGAACCAGGGAGGAAATCGGAGAGGGGGTAGCACTTTGGAAAATTCTCCCCAACGTGAGGACGTGCGCTGCTGACGATGAGTATCAACGAACTGCACCTCCGAACCTTTCTTTGACCAGCTCTTGTGAGCTGTCAAGTTTTTTTGCTACATTAATATACCAATAGGTGAAGCTTCGCAAATAGATTTCCCTGTTTTCAGTACCATGCCCAGTCGGCTCAGTGAACGTGAACAACACTTGCGTACGGTGTCCACTTGGCTCATATCAAGACGAAGCTGGACAGTTGGCTTGTAAAGCTTGCCCCGAGGGAACGTTCACTCAGTATGAGGGTGCACACTCTCAAAGGAGTTGTCTCGGTGAGTACCCTGTTGTCCTGCCTGTGATGAGCTCAGGTCTTATCTACATCTTCTGTTTCAGCTGTTTGTGGTAATGGTATGTACAGTCAAAGTGGATTGGTTCCTTGCCAATTATGCCCGCGTCACACGTTCTCTGGACCTCCAGTAGCTGGTATGATTTTGCAGCTGTATTCCTTCTGATGTGTTGTGCGCAGACGCACTAAGCTGCTGCAACATGGATCACGCGAAGGCTAAAATTTTCCAGGTGGTTTCAAGAAGTGTACGCCATGCCCTGGTGGCACTTATACGGCTCGACTCGGTTCGAGTGGTCCATCTATACTGCAAACAAACCAATTCAGCCAGGAACGTTCAGTTTGTCTGGACTGGAGCCTTGCTCTCCATGTCCACTGCATCATTACCAGCCAGCTCTTGGACAGCAGCGGTGAGTCTAAATCACTTTCCAGGTTCGTGGGATTTTCCTATAATTACGCTATGGTCATTTGGCGTTTATTTGTTGGGGGGGGGGTACGCGGTGGCGCAGCCAAGTCTGTTCCTCTACGCCTATCTGCTGCAACGGCTCTTCTTCTTGAGGACGGTACATACGAGAGTGAGCCAATAGGGCAAGGGGAAAGCATCAACTCCGTGGCCAAGCGCTTGCGTAGCCCTAAAGTAACAGTACACTATCTTTGGACATGTTCCAAATTCAAGCTAAGCTATGTTTTCCCGTCAGAATTTTGATTTTGTTGAACGGCAATTCTATTATTTCGAATAGTTCTGTTTAGATGTAATCAATGCTCCAATCATACGGCGACTTCAAGCGAAGGCCAGAGTGCCGAATCAGCTTGTGAACCGGTGGACTGTGCTGCAAAACAGTGCGAGAATAAGGTAAGGATTGTGTGCAAACATTTTATGGGGCACCGGAAATTTTGTTTACCGTGCAGTACTTTTTCTCATTGTGTGAAAAAGTAACGGTTTCGGCAGCGTTCCTGAGGATGAGGTCTAGGCTGTTGAGGAAGGGCGGGATGTGCTCAGCAAGGGCTGTATCACAGTTGGGAGAGCGAGGACGGGTTTCTAGATGACACAGGAACCCTAGAAAGTAGGATCTATTTTTATTTGTCGAATTCGATGATTCGGCGCTATTCAGCTCGGTGGTGGGGGGCATTTTGCCCTTTAGACTTGTTTCCTGTCAGGTTGCACTTCACGGCTGGTGAGACTTCCAGACTTTCGTCAGGTGTGAGCGTATGGGCTAAATGCTCAAGCAGTGAAAGTTTTATCCCAAAAAAGGATCTACGGCTAACTGTGCTACTATTTGACCTCACATGAGTTGAGATCCTCCTTTATTTTAACGCTTGATTTATGATGTAGGTTACTTCTCAGAATCTGTAGAAGAGTTCTTCCCTATAGTATGCTCACTTCCAGGCCGAATGTGTTGTACGTGATCATCGCGCGGTGTGCGAATGTCGTCCTGGATTTGTTGGTGAACGATGCGAATTGATCGAGCCGGTATGCGACTCATCCCCTTGTTTCAATGGTGGATCATGTGAAGAGATCGCCGGCACATTCAGATGCATCTGCCCACAGAGTGAGCGTTTTCACTTCTTCCCTTATTGGTGGAGTAGAATAGTTCGAATGAACATCAAATTTGTTTAAAAAAATTCGCGGCTTTGTTGGGGAGAACACATCAAAGGAAAGGGTACGCTAAGAAACCCGAATAGTAAAGCGCCAAGTCCCAAGAGCACGTGGAATAGACTGCATTGGCAGGGTAGACGATTCGCGTGCCAGCGATGGATGTCATGACTGGAGCTGATCAAGTGCAGCTCCATTTGCACCATTATTCTAATTCGTGCGAGGAATCCAAGCCGGATGGCCCTAGACATGATACGTATCCTCATAACTTGTTGACGCGCAATGATCAGCGGGGCTTACCTTTATCTTACTAATTAAGAACCGAAGGGGATATTTTCCGAGTCTTAAAGCAAGAGGTAGTCGATCCATCCACATTTACTATCATTTTAGGGACAAATAACTGAGGATGAAGTCATCGCCGTGAATGTGATGGGCGAGGGGAGCTTACAGTGACTTGTGGGGGCCAGCTGATGTACAAGTCAGGTTTTTTTTTCAACCCGCCAGACATCTGATACCACTTCACCATCCCGTAGGGGACAAGCTGTGGAAAGTTAGAGCGCTGGCCATGGAAGTATAAGGCGTGCTGCATCCCAAAAAATAATTGATTTTCAGCGACGGATTTTCTCTTCTATGCTCGTGAAAAAGTGTAAATAATTGCCAGTAATGAATAATAGTGGGTATAAGAGCTGCAAAAACGGTCTCCGGGAAAGATGGCTCTATGGAAGCTGTTTTGGGCAGTCTAGA